ACTACACCACCTTCCAGTATTACAGAGAGTCCAGTCAACAAGAACTGTTCACCGCTGATGGCATTCATAAATTAAAAGCATTATATAGCTCAGAGTCACACTGGCTGACAAAAGAAGTAACAGAGTACTGTGAAATGCCATTCATTCCTGAGTAGACACTGTATTGGGAAACCTTTGTATTTCCAAACCCAAAATGTTTTTGGTCAAAAGCATTGCTCCTTATGCTGGGCTTTCTGTTCCGTTTTGTATTGGCTGCTGCGGCTATTTACTAATACCAAATAATAACATGTTGGTGAAATGGTGCATGTGCAGGTTGATTTTAATGGCAGTGCCCTGCCTCCTGCATTTGGAAGGAGGCATGTAGCACGCAGTCATAGAGAAGTAGACTTTTGAGTGCTGCCAGCAAGAAGCACTAAAGCATAAGTAGTAGGCACGACTTCAAGCAAACTGGCACCACATAAGTGGTTATGTGAAGTTATGCTCCAGCTATACAAAAGCCTGGTTCAGCCACATCTGGAGTATTGTGTCCAGTTCTGGTCGCCTCATTACAGGAAAGATGTGGAAGCATTGGAAAAGGTGCAGAGGAGATTTACTAGGATGTTCCTTGGAATGGAGGGAAAGTCTGACGAGGAAAGGTTGAGAGAGCTAGGGCTTTTCTCTTTAGAACGATGAAGGATGAGAGGTGACTTGATAGAGGTGTACAAAATGATCAGAAGCATAGATAGTGTAGACAGCCAGAGACTTTTTCCTAGGGTGGAGGTAGCTATGAAGAGGGGGCATAGTTTTAAAGTGAGTGGAGGTAGATACAGGGGAGACATCAGAGGTAGGTTCTTTAATCAGAGAGCGGTCGGGGCGTGGAATGCATTGCCGGAGCGGGTAGTGGAGCCGGCCTCATTAGGGGCATTTAAGTGGCTATTGGATAGGCATACGGATGATAGTATAAGGTAGTGGTGGAGGTTAGATAGACCTTAGGATTAGGGTAAAAGTTCGGCACAACATCGTGGGCCGAAGGGCCTGTACTGTACTGTACTGTTCTATGTTCTATAAACCAGCCTGCACTGCTTCAGGGAAAGGTGCATTTTGGCTGAAATTGGTGCTTGTAAAAGTGAGTTTTCTTGGTGAGAATCCTGCAGGAATAGACTAACAGGGTGCATCGTGGATTCCAAAATTGCTGTATCAAAGGCTTTGAAGGAGAAGGTGCAGTAGAGATATCTTCGTTCGCCAAACGTGTGAGGAAGATTTACAAGTCCACTCTCAGGAGGCAGTAGAACCAGATCGCAGTTCAATGCCAGGAATTTTTCTCCGGAGGCCTGCAGGTGGTGCATTAGGGAGGTCAATGATTTCACACAAGTTGTTAAGGTCAGTAAATAGCTCTTCAAATGTCACATCCCACCAACTTCACTTATAATCTCAGAGACAGCTCAAAACAATATCTCCCACCATCCAACTACCAACAAGGAGTATCAATCATGACTCAAGTTTTGTACTGGTTATTGGGCAGAATTTTACTGCCTCCCCCAACTGAAGAGTTTGCAGGTCAGTTATTATAATAAGACCTCGTGGGACTTGAGGAGGATGATCAATCATAAGCCAATTTTCCTCTTCTGTGTGTACCTTCTTTATAATGTTTCTTTTTCCACGTTGGGTACCTCCACTCCCATTTAGAGGGTGATGAATCTTTGGAATTCTATATTCAAGTGATTGATAGATGTAATGATGTCAAGTGTCATGGAGATAACACAGATCCATGAATCATAGAATTCGCACAGTGCAGATAGAGGCCACTTGGCCCCATTGAGTCTGCACTGATCCACATTTATCAACTTAGCCTGCATATCCCTGGACTCTATGGGGCAATTTAGCATGGCCAATCCACCTAAACTGCACATCTTTGAACTGTGGGAGGAAACCGGAGCACCTGGAGAAAACCCATGCAGACACGGGGAGAATGTGCAAACTCCACACAGACAGTCACTCAAGGCCGGAATCAAACCAGGGTCCTTGGTGCTGTGAGGCATCAGTACTAACCACTGAGCCACCCGTGCTGCTGAGGTAGATGAACAAGCATGATCTAGATAGCGGAGCAAGCTTAGGGGTTGAATGGCCTGCTCTGCTCCTGGGTACCTAGTAGCAGGTCAGAACCTGACAGCAGGAGCACCACCAACAGAAGCGGCTGAAGGTGTAACCCTCCCTTGACAGACCTGCCACTCTTATGGGTGAGAGAGAGAGAACACAGCAGTGCATCTCACAGGACATAATATTTGAACACAGGGTACATGGCTAGAAGTTCATCTTTCTCAAGACGTCTGAATATCGATACATCATGTACATGGCATTAGGTTGTTGCAACTGATTGCTGCCATCTGGAAGAAGATCTGTTGCCAAGTGGACTGGTGCCCACGCTTTACCAGTGGCTGTCAAATTGAGCATCACCTTTAAAGACTTTACCTTGATATCCACTCAGGATTTTCGGGCTGTGGTCCACAAATATATCATACAGGACACCATGTTTTCTGGGGGTCAGAATTGTGTGTACTTTACCACTGAGGCCAGCTAGAATGAGCAGGTGGTTAGGCTTGCAGCTCCGGCTGTCTTTGCACATATACAGGGTGTGACTGACTGCCTACGTGCAATGGTCAAGCCACACTCCCCTGATAACTCCAGAATGTTTGTCAACTGCAAGGACTTTTGACTCCATCAGCGTGCAGTTCATTGGTAAACACAAAAAGATCATGGACTGCAACCTTAAACCACTAGTGAAGTGATAGTACTCACCATTGATCCCAAAGAAAGCTGCCCACAAAAGGTCTTTGTGGCTTGGACTTCACATTGACTGATGTTAATTAGAATCTGGTGCCAAGCCATGGGGATCTCCAGTCAGACAGCAGCAATGCCCCAAGCAAGATAAGCAGCCAAATCACATAGAAGTATTCTCACAGACAGCAAAGTAAGCAGTTAAACACGAAATACTTCACTTTTAATTTAAATTTCAGATAGTGAAATAAATGATGAGATTTGCATTTAGATAGAAGCTAAAACATTAATAATAAACAAACTTTTATTATTCTTGTAGAAATAGATGTAATTTGTTTTCTTAATCGAGGAGAAACTTGACAATTGTTTTAAGGGCCTGTGATAATGTTTAGTTGTAACTAAGAACTTAGTACGTCATTGAAAACCCAGTGATATCCCACTCAACAAGGTGTAACCTTCTCTGGGTTTTACAGTGACACTATCAGCAGTCATGTGGCAGTTTTCATGAACTCACTGCCTAGGGATTTTACTCAGGGTAGGGACTGGAGCAGGTGAGTGGCTGTCCTCAAAGGTAGATTCTCTGGAAGAGCTTTGAATTACTGATGGCAACTTTCAGATTCCTGTGCTATTCTGCTGTCCTGCCGTGAACTGTCAAGTTGTTATCAATTTCAGCACAGTAGTGATCATAAATATGAATGACAATGTAATGGTAGTTTCATCAACATTACAATGATTATCTAATCAGCACTCCCAAATGTGAACCAAACAGAAATTGTCAAGTTACTGTTTATTTTCTTGATTCACTTAAAAAATAGTTGTTTGTAAGTTCATCAACTCCAAATAACTGAGGAATATGTAAAACCAGATGGACTCAATCTTTTGGGAGTGATTTTAAACCCTTAAAATGGATTGGTTTGTATTAGCTAGGAAGTTAAAATGCAAAATATTTTAAACTAGTTTTCAACACACCTACTTCTGGTTTTAAAATTGGACAAGAGACAAGCAAACAATTTGTTCTCAAGAGGGCCTATCAGAAAATCAGAACAGTTGTGTGTCTCCATTTTTTTTTAACTATATCAGATGGGTTTCTTGTGACTAAGAAAACATGGCAGATGAAAGGATTAACGTTGGGCCATATCCAAATGGTGTGTGCATTTACAGCATAACTTGTGCGCCAAAAGGAGCAGCTATGTCCATGATCTACAACTGGTGCCCTCCTCTGGAGAATGACCACTCCCCTCATCTCGATAATTTTACTTGTCCACAGCCACCGTCTCCCCCCATACCAAAAACTTGCCTCAACTATGGTCCTTCTTCTGATCAAATATCCCCCTGACTGCTTCTAGTCTCCTCTCTGCTGAAAATTTTTTAAAAAAACAACTCTTCTTAATTTCACTTGAAAAAAGCTTGCACTTCTGGTTTCCAATTCAGAATTCTTTCCCATTGCTCCATCCCCATAAATACTGGCATCTTTGAATCCCAAAAGGCACAGTTTATTTCTCAAAGGAAGTGGTTATGTGCAGTTTAAAGAATACATTTTGTGTGCATTTCAATCACAGATTCAGCTTATATGATGACAACCTGTAGAAATATTTTGCTAGGTGAACAATTTTGTGTGGAAATATTATAACTCCAACTTTTTCCATGGAAGTACACAAAGTAATTCCTGAAGGAACATATTTCAATGTGAAAGTCAAATGTATGCCATAGCACAGGAGTGTTTAAATATTGCTAGCTATGGATAATAATAAAATTAGTCTAATAATCAAATTTGAAGCAATTCAAAATAAACCTGTTTCAATCTGAAACACTAGCCTGGAGTCAACATGACTTTTCAATGTTAAAATAATTTTGCCAAATAATTCATGTTCCTCATTTTCCCCTAATGTAACATGACTCTGTATTAACAATCATCTTTTGAAAATGGCAACCATGATTTTAAACTCCTGTTACATTAGCAATTCCAAGTTGTTCAGCCAAAATTAACTGTATGAATGCATTCATTCAGAAAATAGCGTTATATTATACAAGAAGTTTATTTGATGCTGGGAGAGGAACAGGTGAGTGAAAATAACCGAGATGATAGATTTGATCAGATGTGATTAAAATCTACTCTACTGTGTTCAATTATTACAAACTCTATAGAAACTAAAAAGCATCGTTTAAAGTTGATTCAAAGGGCAATTATTCTTTCTCGTAATTTAAACTTTTGTAAACAATTTGTATACTTTTGCTCCTTTTCACAGGAAATTGAGGATGGGAAGTGTTAGCAGGTGGAAAAGGATTTGAGAAGATCTTTTGTTTGAGAAAGGGATAATGAGCTCAAATCCCGTTGCCAGACGAGGAGAAGGGGGACAGACCCCGAATATTCAACAGTCTGCAGTGAGACAGCTCTATGGTCAGTTTGGGCAAGGAAACCAGCCTGAGTCTGTGCTAAGCACTGATTCCACAGTTCACAGCGTTCAGGCCACACCTCAACCTGTGGTACCACAGCAACTGGCCCGGAATGTGGGTGTTTGCAGTGACTGGGACAGCATTGAAGGACTGTACCATCGGGAATTGGAAGAGGTCCGGGCCAGAGCTGCTCAGATGGAGAAGACCATGCGCTGGTGGTCGGACTGCACGGCCAACTGGCGAGAGAAATGGAGCAAGGTGAGGGCAGAACGAAACAAGGCCCGCGAGGAAGTGCGACAGATGAGGCAGAAGCTGGAATCAGTGGTGAAGGAGCTGGCCGCTATCAAAAGGGAAAAGCAGGAGCTGTTAAACGAAAACGAAGGACTGAGGAGAGAAGCTAAAGCATCAAAAGCTCAGTCAGACGCCTTGCCGGTCAGGCTGGAGGAAGATGAAGTCAATCCTCTGGAACAGGAACCCGTCAAAGATGTGGAGAGTAATAACAATGCAACTTCTCCGAATAAATTCACTGGCTCACCAAACAAGGTACGTAAAACAAAACCTCTGTTCGGGCGTAAAATTGGGATGAGAAAAGCAGTTTCAATTATGAATAATCACTTCCAGATAAAACGCAAAGAACTAATACTTTCAGCACTATTCCTTGCCCCCCCGCCTTTACAATCCCTCTGACCTGTGAACGCCGGCATATCATTGCATGCGCACTCATGACCCTGAGTGATGACAGATTATTCAGTCGATAGTGGTTTCACAACCAGACCGTACTTCTGCCTCTCCCAGCAGTTGCTACATTGAATTCAAAATGGCTAGCTCCAAGGAGTGGTAAAAGCCATGTACCCGCCTTGCTGAGATCAGCAAACTCAGCATTGGCCTGCATCTGAACCTGGAATCTCTACCGCTCAGTAAATTGCAACATAAGCATTGGAAGCAATTTTTCATAAATATACACAATGTTAATTTAAAGTTTACATAATAATCAGGAGCTGGCACTGGTATCTATATCAAGCAGAACCCAACAGAGAACAAATTCTTCTTGCAGTTAACATATAAGCATTTTTTACACAGCCTAGGATATAAGAGCCTCCCCTATCGATACAAAGGGAGGTGGTTGTGTAAAGGGGATGTAACTAAATTTGTAATCCCAGACTCATGTTCTATGGGCTTGGATTCACACCCCACCATAGCAGCTGATGGAATTTAAAGTGAGTTAATTTAAAAATGTGGAATTGGAAGCTAGCCTCAGTAATGATATCCATGGAACTGCCATTGTTGTAAAAGCCCGTTTAGTTCACTAACATCCTGAGGGAAGGAAGTCTGCCATCCGCACTAGATCAGATGACTCCATTGATGTGATTGACTCTTAACTGCCCTCTGAAATGCCCTGGCTGGTTACTCAGTTTAAGGGCAATTAGAGATGATCAACAGATGTTGGCCTTAACAGCAATGCCCATGTCTCATCAAAGAGTACATAAACACAATTTTATCTTCAAGATATAAATGTGGTAAAAACAGTTTATGCACATATACACATAATCAGACATGAAGGAATTGTCAGCTATTAGATAGCAATGCATTTGTTATCATTACCATATTCCTCTTGAGGTCGTACATGTAAACTTGATTATTTTTTGGCAAATGAATGTAGATCACTGTTGCTGAGCCTGGGAAGTATTATTATTCAGAAGGATTTTTGTATGAATGTTGTCAGTTTATAGATTGGCTTATTTAATTATGATATTGGTGAATGAATTGTTAATGCCTACCTTGGTGTAAGCAAAGATTTATTCCTGTCTCTTCCTTCAGATAATATTTATCATAAAAACTGACTGGTAACATGTTGGTGAAATAATATGAAACACATTGACAAAGAGATTTAACCCAGCCCACTCAGGAATGATGCAGGATTGAAGTTAAAATGGCATTTGGCAGAAGCTGCTACATTCATGTAGCTCTTCCATGCCCCCCACTATTTTAACTTTGGGATTTTTTTGGAAGCTGGTAAGCCACCAGTCACAAGCAGATTAGGGGTCAGATTGAATCGTAAAAGCAAGTCCCACATCTATGTCACCACGTGTTACAAAATCCTCCAGTGCAACCTCTGACACACTAGCCTATCCTGAGTTTGTACAGGTTAAATTTAAGTTTTGAAATTCTCTTGAATACTGTGTTAAATTAAGTGCCATAATTAGTCATACGTAATTTTTAATTTTTTACATTTTTAACTTTGATATATTTGTTCGGGCACCCATCGAACAAATGCAATTAAAGATACAGGGTAAACCATTTAGTACTGAGATGAGCAATTTATTCAATGAGAGTGGCGAGCCTGGGGAATTTACTACCATAGAAAACAATCAAGGCCAAAACTTTGTGTGATTTCAAGCAAGAGTTCGATATAGCACTTGTGGCTAAAAGAATCAAAGGATATGGGAGCTATTGAGCTGGGTGATCAGTTGTCGTCACAATGAATGGTGGAGCAGGGCTGAATAGCCTACTCCTCCTAATTTCTGTTTTTCTGTATTTCTGTATTTCCATATTGGAATGTTGGAGACCTTTGAGCCACGATGTCTCGGGTGCATTCATAGTTTAAACTGTGATGGTTTTCAGTTCAGCAGTTCATTCTGAGCTCAATCTAAAAGCAACTCGTGCAAGTGAGTTTTCGACTAGACTTTAGAAGAAGTTACAATGATGGAATGGAAGCATTCCCAAGGAAGTTTCCAACCATAATATTAAAAAATCAGTAAATTAGTGTGACATGAAGCTTGAACGTAGGCAAGATTTATTAATATAAATACTGTATAATATTCCAAAAAAGTTACGAGAAAACTTGCATTTATATTATTTATATTTATAACATTTTGAATTTGATAGTTCTATTGAATATATGAACTGATTCTATCAAGTTGTACATAAAAGAGTAACTTACTTTAGCTTTAAAAGACTACTTAGTAATCTACCAAAGCAAAGAGAGTTATTTCATAACACAAAGTTAATTTGGAAATCATTGGATCATGAAACTCCGACAAATATGCACTGATAGTAAGGATACATGTCCTGGATCAGAGGGAGCAAGTTCCACATAAGGAGATTAAATTGTAGAATCTTTTTGGTGCAGAAGAAGGCCATTTGGGTCTATCATGTCTGTGTTGGCCACCTAAGGAGCAATTCATGTACTGTCATTCCTATGCTCCTCTCCCCACCATAGTGAATGCTCTTCCTCGACATATTTAGAGTATATAGAATTATTGTGTAAGAAAATTACTTCAATTAACTACTTAAAATATTTACACTGGATCTGATATGAATTGTCTTGTAGACCTTTGCAAATTGGAACTGTACCAAAAGTAAGTGGTAAACATTATACTGTTTCTCAAGTAACGGAGAGAGAGATATATCAGTACACTGTAAGTCATTTCACCTTGTGGGCTCAAGGAAGATGGGAACAGATGGATATAAGTCAATTTAGGAAGAGGCACCTAAAATCAAGTTTAAATACCAGTCATGATGTGTCTGTTTCTGTTTCCATGTATTTCTTTGTAATTTTATCTCAGTTATCACAAGTTAAGAAAGATTTCATTGGAGATCCACCAATTTCCCATGGAATGACCTCAAGATGGTGCTTTTTTAGGATTTAACCCTCTGCATGTCTTTAATAATGGATGAAAGTAATGGACACATAGGAAGGTTAAGTGTATGATCATGAAGTTATGAGTTAATCAGGGCTAGTTATTATGGATTTGTAAACAGCAAGATTAAGAATTTGCAGGATATATAAAGGGAAGGAATTTTCTATTATGAGGAAATTGTTAAAATGCAGTTGTACAAATGACTGTTCTAGTCTGCTATAGTACACTTGAAACATGGTGTTTAAAGAAAAGGAGCTGAGATGAAGGCCCAGAACTGAAACAAAAGGCACATCTGCAAAGCTCTGAACTGCCACTGAAAAATTAAAAAAATTAACAATCACAGTGAAAATGCAGCTTAAGATAAAATAACTGCAGCTTTCCTCCTACCAGTTTCTGTTCAAATGAGTGGAGATATGAGGCAGAACTGGGAATTCTTCCATGAATATTGGCAGATTATGCACTAACTACAGATTCATTGAGCAAACCAGAACAAATGCAAGTCACCACGCTTTTACTGTTGGGAAGAGACTGTTTCAAAATATATGCTACCTTAAATTGCTCTGAAGAGCATAAAAAGCACATGGCAGAAATTTTAAAGGCTTTGAAGGCATGTTTCGAGTCCCAAATGAATGTTATGTACGCATGATACATATTCAATACAAGGGAACAAAGTGAAAAATTGATCAAATTTTAACATCATTAATACAGTGTGCAGAAACGTGTGAATTTGTGCAATTAAAGGATAGACTAATTAGAGGCAAGGATGAATCATGGACAAGGAGCCAAAAGTGAAATCACATAGAATCAGAGAATCATATAGCACAGAAGAGGTACTTTGGCTCATTGAGTATGCACTGACAAAAACTATTCTAAATCTACACTAATCCCACTTTACAGAATTTGGCCCATTGTCTTGAATGTTATGACATTTCAAGTGCTCATCTAAGTACTTTTTACACGTTGTGAGGCAGTGGACCCAGTACCAATCTCTGTGGAACACTACTGGTCACAGGCCTCTAGTCAAAAAAAACCCTCCACCACCCTCTGTTTCCTACTGTCATAAAGTCATACAGCACGGAAGCAGACTTTTCGGTCCAACTCATCCATACCAACCAGGTTTCTTGTTTGCCTAGTTTAGTCCATATCCCTCTAAACCTTTCCTATTCATGTTCCTGTTCAAATAAAAACTGAAAGAACTGCAGATGCTGTAAATCAGAAACAAAAATGGAAATTGCTGGAAAAGCCCAGCAGGTCTGGCAGCATCTGTGGAGAAAAATCAGAATTCATGTTTTGGGTCTAGTGACCCTTCTTCAGAATGTGTACCTATATAAATGTCTGTTAAATGTTGTTACTGTCCCTGCATCTACCACTACCTCTTCCACTTAAGAACCACTCTCTGTGTGAAAACGTTGTCCCTTAGGTTCCTGTTTGACCCAGCTGATGCAGAGTGGGGTGAGTAAATTGGAGAACCTCCTCATTAGCCTAGCCCTGGACTTGGCCAATATAACCATCAACCGGTCCAGGCAGTGGGCAGTTGAGGGGGTCATTCAGTTTGACTGCCTGAGTTTCTTCCATGACTGCCCATGCACCCTGATGTCCCAGGAGAAGTAACATGCTGGTAAACTGAGGCTTTCCATAACCTGTGGCTGTAAAAGACCCAGTGGTATGGATCTTTTAACCTAGAAATCTTATGTTAATTAAAATTTTTAATTAAAATTAAAGTTTCTGTAAAATATTTGATTTTTGTTACACTGCCCTTTGAAAGGACTGTAAATTAAGCAAAAAAAAAATTGTTCACAATTTGGGTGTCGTGAGCAAGACCCGCATCTATCACCCGTTCTTAACTGCCCTCGGGGAGATGGTGGTGAACTACTTTGTCAAACTGCTGCAAGCTCATGTGGGGTGGTGACATCCTCAATGTCGCTATCTGTCAAGACAATTTTGTATCCAATTGTCAAGTTGTCCCCGAATCCCATGTGATCTAACTTTACTAACTAGTCTACCGTTGGGATCCTTGTCAAAGGCTTTAGTAAAGTCCATGTAGACAACATCTATTGCTCTGCCTTCATCAATCTTTTTGGTTATGCATTCCAAAAAAAAACTTAATGAAGTTTGTGAGACACAATTTCCCATGCACAGAGCCATGCGAACTCTCTCTAATCAGTACTTGCCTCTCCAAATGCACGTAAATCCTATCTCTCAGAATCCCCTCTAGCAACCTATCCACCACTGATGTCAGATTCACCGGTCTATAGTTCCCAGCCTTCTCCTTACAGCTTTTCTTAAATAAAGACACAACATTAGCCATTCTCCAGTCCTCCAGCACCTCACCCATGGCTGTAGGTGATACAAATATCTCTGCTATGGGCCTTGCAATTTCTTCCCTGATGTCCCACAATATACTGGAATACGTTTGATCAGGTCCCAGATATTTATCCACCTTTATGTTTTTTAAGATCTCCAGCACCTACTCTTTTGTAATGTAGACTGTTTTCAAGATATCAATATTTATTTCCCAAGTTCCCTAGCCTCCATTTCTTTTTCCACAGTAAAAACTGACATGAAATATTTGTTTAGAATGGCTCCCATCTCCTGTGGTTCCACACTTAGATGACCTTATAGATTTTTAAGGGGCCTTATTCTTGCCCTAGTTGCTGTTTTGCTCTTAATGTACTTGTAGAATCTCTTTGGATTAGCCTTAACTTTATCTGCCAAGGTTAACTCTTATGCCCTTTTCACCCTCCTGATTTCCTTCTTAAGAATGTCCCATATCCCTTATACTCTTCAAGAGATTCACTTCATCCTAGTTGATTATATCTAATATATGACTCCTACTTATTCTTGACCAGAACCTCAATATCTTCATTCATCTGTTGTTCCCTAATCTTACCAGCCTTACCCTTTACTCTAACAGGAATATAATGCCTCTAAACTCTTGGTTATCTCACTTTTGAAAGCTTCCCACTTGTCATTCATCCCTTTACCTGTGAACAGTCTACTGCAATCAACTTTTGAAAGTTCCTGTCTCATACCATTACACAATGGCAGTCCCAGTCTATGTTTGGAAAGTTAAAATCCCCTACTGTTACAACCCTATTATTCTTACAGATATCTGAGATCTCTCTACATATTTGCTCCTCAATTTCCCACTGACTGTTGGGATCCCTATAGTACAATACCATCAAGGTGATCATCCCATTCTTATTTCGGTGTTTCACCCATATAGCTTCACTGGATGATCCCTCAGAAATATCCTCTGTATGTGCGGTGGTAATATTTTCCTTAATCAAAAACATCTGCCTCCCTTTCTATCCTTTCTATAGCATCTGCACCCCAGAACATTGAGCTGCCAGTTCTGTCCCTCCCTCAGCCATGTGTCTGTAATAACTATGATGTCCCATGCTCATGTCCCCATACATGCCCTGAATTCATCAGCCTTACCTGTTAGACCCCTTGCATTGAAATAAATGCAGTTTAATTCTTCAAGAGTTCTCCATTGACTTGCTCTTGCCTGCCTTTTTTTAAAATTAACTTGCCTCTTTTTTTAAAATCAGGACTATCCTCATCTGTCTTTCTATTCTCACTATGAATTTAAATTCCACCATCTGTCGTGGCGGGATTCGAACCTAGGTTCCTGGGACATTAGCTGAGTTTGTAGATTAATGGTTTAGCAATTATACCACAATGCCTTTGCCTCCCCTAATGAGGCAGATTCCACCCCCCTGCCATTCCCCCCACCCCCCC